CCCCCGGGGCGTCCCGCCGCCTGCACCCGCCTGCAGCGGGGGCCGGCCCCCTCCTCGTCCCACGGACCCCGGTGCACTCGGGAGCACGTGACTCTGGGGACCCGTTTCCAGCTGAAGAACAAGATTGCCTGGATCCCAGGGCCGTGTAGCATGTTAACAAAATTAGTGCTTAGCAATATTTTTGAGAATTCTGTGGTTTGGGCATCTTGTGTTTTTTCCTCTGCCAAAACAAGCTTGCTAACTTCTTTGCTTCTCTGTTTGCTGCAAAGACAAGCAAAGGAGCTCCAAATCATTTGCACATTGCATGCCGACGGTGTCCCGCGCTGGCACGATCCTGGAGGCGCGTGGGCGGGGCGGGGCGGGCACCCCCGTGACCCCGGCTCACCCCCTCGGCGCTTCCCACCTGACCCCACGGGAGCTGCCCCCTTCGCCCCTGTGGCCCCAGGGCTCATTTGAATCCGGCTTTTCTGGGCCGGCTGGGCAGCCCCTGCCCCTCCCGCCCGCTGGCCAGGCTAGCTGGACTCCAGTTCCGCCGGCCACCCCGCTGACTAGCGTTGAGGGCGCCTGCTCCGCGTTCAGTGTGGGCCGGGTCCTGCTCGGAGCCGCGTCCTCGCCACCCTGTCTCGGAAGCCCGCCCCTTGGGGACGGCGTGACCCCCGCCCCGTGCTGTCTGGCGCGCCGGGTGGCCTGGGCGGTGCAGCAGCACCCAACACCCAGCAGCAGCACCCAACACCCAGCTCGCACCCGGCAGCGTGCTGCCAGTCCCCTCCCGTGTCCGCGGAGGCGTCTCCCCGGGCTCCCAGGAAACCGGGGGCAGGCTCGCGACGCCCGGCTTGGGCCGCTGGACTGTGCGCCGGACAGAAGCAGTAGTGCCCTGTTCTCACGGCGCTGGCCACTGGCTGCCCGGGCACCCCTGGCCTCCTGGGCGAGACCCCCGTGGGGGGAAGAGGTGTCACCTGAGCGGTGTCTGTGATCACTCTCTGCTCCTTCTAGAAGAGGGGGGAGGCGTCGTCTGGCCTGGCTGCTTCCCGGGCTGGTGTGTGGAGCGCGGGCCAGGAGGAAAGAGGGCTGGACGCTGGGCAGAGGGGCGGCTCTGCGCACCAGCATGGGTGTGACCAGCAGATGTCCCGCGGGGGGTGGGCAGGACCACGGCGGAGTATGCAGCTGTGCCAAGGAGGCTGTGCACGGCCAGATGGGCAGAGGCCAGGTTGCCCAGGAGTGTGCAGCTCGCACTAGCTGCTGTGTAGGGACAGTCTGACTTACACTGCGTGTTCTTCCGTGGGCAAACAGAAACACCGGAAGGATGAAGGGGGGGGGTGCCAAGCTGGGCAGATGGAGCTCGGGGTGGGCTGCGCCATACTGGCTGTAGTAGACAAGTACGGTAGATATTTCTGTTTGTGCACGTGCTGTGAACGTCTTCACACCGTCTGTATATCTGCTGTGCGTGCACATGTACGACTATGGAGTGTACATGTCACAATCAGAGTGTTCATTTACATGAGTAGGCAGATGTCTACACACCTAATGACGGCTTCAAAATACCACGAAGCAAGCGTGTATAGCCGGACGAAGGAAAAACGAAGAAATCCGCCACTGTGGCTGCGGGTGTTAAAGCCCCACTCTCAGCAGCGGAACGAGCCGGCAAACAAAGCGGGGAGAAACCAAAGATGTGAGGACCTGTCCGCCCTCAGCCTGACTGCGCTTGCGGGATGTTCACCCAGGCCCGTCCGTGTGCAGTGCTGCGTGGGCCACGCCAGGCGCTGCACGGTGAATCGGCCCTGGCAAGGCCGGACTGCGTCAGCTGTACCCGGCCACACCCGGGGCGCAGGACACCCCAAACCCAGCACACGGGAACCCGGCGTCACGGGAAAGAAACCCCAGGGAGCTGCCGCAGGTTTCCTAATGGAGACAGTGAAAGCTGGTCTCAGCCATGACTGAAGTGCACCCCCAAGGCAGGCGTGTGTGAGCGTAGGAGAAAGTCTGACGAGAGCAGCCGAAGCATCCGCGGTAGAAAGCAGGAAAGAAGTTAAATCCAAGTCAATGGAAGAAAATCATGAAGCTGTGAGCAGAAATCAAAGAAACAGAAAGCAAGAAACAGGAGAATTAAAAACCAAAAGTTGTTTCCTTGAAACGACACAGTTGATAGCCTCTCGGTCAAGTAACCAAGCAAAAAATTGAGAAAATGCAAATGCTCGAGGCCAGACGTGAAAGTGAGGCATCAGCACAGACCCTCTGGGCGCCGGTGAGGAAGGCGAGGGCGCAGGGCGGCGAGGGGAGGCGGAGACGGGCGAAGCAGAGAGACTCCTGGAAAAATACAACTGACGGAGGAGGAGACAAACGATCTGACTGGCTCTGGATCTATTTCAGGAAGTGACTTGGTAATTAATACCTTGAAAAATATTTGGGTTAAGTTACCCGAATAAGGAGAGAGGAAATAAGCTCGGAATAGCCTGTGGCTAATTAAAGAAGTCAGTTTATAATTTAAAACCGCCCTCAAGAAAATCCCCAGACGTCTTCAGAGATGAGTTCTACACAATGTTGAAGGAAGAAATAACATCAACATTCTAAAACCTCTCAGAGAGTAGAGCGCACCGGCCAGCGTGCTCTCTGCGGCCGACCCAACCAGATACACAAACCCCACGGGGGGGGGGGGGGGGCGGGGGCCCGCTGGCGCCCCCGGGGGCCGCCAGGGCCAGGTGCTGGCCAGCCCAGCAGAGCTGGGGTGGCCCCTCTGGGCACCGCGGGCCTCAGGAACCCCAGGCGGGAAGCTGGCGTGACTTCGGGGGACACTTGCGGCGCTGGGCCGAGGGTGGGGCCGTCGCCCATCGGGCAGGAGGGCCTCTGGGCGGGGGCGCTGCTCGGAGAAACGCGCACCCCGATCTCCGGCCCACGTGGGGGGAGGGCTGCGGCCCTCAGGCTCCTGAGCCCCAGCGACGGGTGCAGCTGGCACCCCGCCTGCCCCCCGCCTCCGTCAGGCTCGGCGGGGCGGAGGTGCTGAGCTCCGGGGACACCA